GCCATACTTCCAATGTGGATGGTGTGAGTACGCAGATCGATGTGTATGAGGATCGAAGCGATGGAGAGGAAGTGGGTAGGAGAGAGCGGTGGTATGCCGCAGCCATTAGGTTCTGGACTAGACATGTCAGTCTTAGCATCGATGAAGGAGCGCATAGAGATCATCTAGGTACGTCTCCTTCCCTTTGCTTCTTCAAACAGTCCAATCGCTAATCTTGCGTTTAGCACTCGAACGCACTTTCCTGGGCTACCTTCGTACCTCCCTAATTCTTGTTATGATAGGTATCGTGACTGCCCAGCTGTTCCACTTGCAACACTCGTCTACGCCCGACTCGCACTTTGGCTTCTACAAGGTTGGGAAACCACTTGCAGCTACCTTCATCTGCATGGCTATTGTGGTGGTTATGATTGGAGCAATCAGGTTTTGGAGACTACAGCGAGCGCTTGTGAGAGGGAAGGCGATGGCGGGAGGGTGGGAGGTAGGACTCGTTATGGCGTTGATGGGAATGTTGCTGTTGGGGACGTTTGCAGTGCTCGTTGGAGTGGACGTGGAGAAGACGTACTTTGGAGGATGAGTAGTGCCTGTTCACATGCCACAGCATGTGGTTAGTCAGCGCACCAGCCACGGGTAGAAGTCATGAACTAGTCATGTAGGAGTTTTACGGGCGTCGTTACGCTTCAAACATGTCTCGAATAGCGGATAGTCATCGTTTGCTGTGGGTCCATGTAAGACCCTTTCGACTAGCCATGCTCACTGTTCAAGCTGCGGCACTGAAGTCGGCGGAAGGCACAGCGGCGAACCGTAGTAACTATGCGGGGCAAAGCGTTGGAAAGGTCTGCCGTCTTTGTGGGTAAGTTGGCTATTGAAATGGACGCATTTGGTCTTGGGCTTCGGTATACGTTGGAAGTGTTAGGGGCAGTCAGCGAGCAGCAAACAGGACCGCCAAATGTCCCCAAGAATTTGGAGAGATGATGATGTTTGAGGCGATTAAAGTTACATTGGGCAGATAGGGCCGTTACGCTGCCTCACAGAGCCATTTTGGGCGGAGTGCTTAGGGTGCTGAGGGCAGATGGTGGCGGGGGACGCGGACCGGCCTGGATGAGCCTTGACGCAATGTCTAGTGCGACTTTGTTTCTGAATTCAGCGCGCATTGTGAACCGTGGATCCAAACCCTTTTCTGCGTCCTTGCCAACACAACAAACCTCTGCAGTTGTATAATAGGCGACGAAGCCCCGATCGCACCCTTTGCGCCGCCATCACTCCAGTCCGATACAGCGTCCACGGCGCTCCGATACCGCCACCATGGGGCTCTCCAAATCGACGCGCATCATGATCCTGCTGGCTATCGACACGGCCTTCTTCTTTGTCGAGCTCATCGCGGGTTACACGGTGCACTCTTTGGCGCTGGTCGCCGACTCGTTCCACATGGTGCGTATATCTGGCCTCGCCGCCAGTGATGATGCTGACACGACGCGCAGTTGAACGATGTCATATCGCTCCTCGTTGGATTATGGGCCGTCAAGGTCGCTAGCCAAAAGACCAACTCGAAGACATACACATACGGAGTAAGAAGCCTCGCGTCTGGCATGCAATGGCTATGCTAACGTGGAGTAGTGGCAACGCGCGGAAACCCTGGGCGCCCTCATCAACGGCGTCTTCCTTGTCGCGCTGTGTCTCTCCATCTTCCTCGAGGCCATCCAGCGCTTCGTCGAGCCTCAGGACGTTTCCCACCCGGTTATCATCCTCATCGTCGGTTCTTGCGGCCTCCTGTCCAACATTGTCGGCCTCTTCCTCTTCCACGACCACGGTCACGGCGGCCATTCCCACGGCGGTCATTCACACGGAAACGACGCACACTCGCACGCTGAGGAGGGACACTCCCACGGCATCGATGCGCATGACCATGCCGTTGCGGACGAGCGCGGCAATATAGCCGATGTGCTGCCCCAGAACCGCGTTGCCTTCCCCTCGAACGTTACCCAAACCCCATCCAAAGCCACCGCAAAGAAGAACAAGCGCCACAGCCGGTCGCACTCGCGCAACTATGCCACCATCGACGAGATCTACGTACACCCCTCTTCCTTCAGGAACAGCATCATCGAGTCGTCCCGCGCGCACGATGATGAGGCAGATGACGAGGACAACGATGTCGTCGAGGACGAGGAGCCTACCGAGCAGACTTCGCTTCTATCTAAGCCTAAGAGCCACGGCTCGCACGACCACTCTCACGACCATGCTCACGGAAACGGCAAGACTAGCCAGAAGGACAACCACAAGGGCCACAAGCACAACCAGCCCAAGAAGGAGGCATCGGGAGGTGGACATGGTCACTCTCACGCTGATCTGAACATGCGCGGTGTTTTCCTACATGTCTTGGGTGATGCCCTGGGCAACATTGGTGTCATTGCCACTGCCCTGTTCATCTGGCTTACCGACTACTCCTGGAGGATGTATGCCGACCCCGCGGTATCTCTGCTCATCACCGTCATCATCCTCCTGTCTGCTCTACCCCTGTGCAAGGCTGCATCTCGTATCCTTCTTCAAGCCGTCCCGGAAAACCTGTCCATCGACGACATCACCGACGACATTACTGACCTCACAGGCATCGTCTCCTGCCATCACCTCCACGTCTGGCAACTATCAGACACTAAGCTCATCGCATCCCTCCACGTCCAGGTCGACTTTGACTTCAAGGGTCAGGGCTCAGCACGCTACATGGATCTCGCGCGCCAAATCCGCGAATGCCTCCACCAGTACGGTATTCACTCTTCGACCATCCAGCCCGAGTTCTGCCTCGACGCTAGCCACGACCACTCGGCACATGGCTCAGACGAAAGCGGCGCGGAAGATGGTGGTCGCAAGAGCAAGAACCCCAGCGTCAAGGGCGGCCCTGACGCCTGTCTTCTAGAGTGCCCCGACAGCTGTGGTGGAGGAAAGCAATGTTGTGACCCCAACACTACCGGTCCCAACGGTCCATCATCATAAGCGTCGACTGTTTCCTTCTGTTATTCACAGTACCCGACGCATCATGTGTCAACGTTCTTTATTGTTTGGGAGGATATTTGTACGAAAAGCTAAGGCGATAGGTTGTCGTCGATCGCGGGGTGCGTGTAGAGAGCCGGATGAAGCTTGATTGCATCGTTGTGTATTCGACGAGTAGATGAGGTAAACATAATTAAAAGATATCACAAAACGTGACTTTGCGTACTCGTATCCTTATCTCACCGTTTACACCAACCACCCAACTAAATTAGTAGCTGGCAGGTCGCGTGTCTCAGTTGCTCCGTGCTGATGCTGTGGGTAGTATACCCAAGTGGGCAACATCTCCACTCGCGCCCTGTGACACGAAGCACTCCAAGCATATACCAAGCTAATACTATGGAGCTTATGTGGGCACAAGGATAAGCAGCTTCCAGATCTGTGGGTTGAGCCGTGGGTACCGGCGTACCGCCATGCTTGCTGCAGGAGTGACCTTCTGGAAGCCTCAACGACAGGCACACGGAAAGCAGCAAGAATCGCATAGGCAAGGGAAAGCCCGGGATTAACGCGGGGATTGCGCGCTTAGCCAAGGGCCATGTAGGCGTCCCGAGGTTCAGGCGCGCCACTGCGCCGCTGACAGATTGATGTGTGTCGGCAACAAAGCTTGACCGCGCCTTCCGTGTCTGGGCGCTGCAGCCCAGCCGTGCTTGTAACGGAAATTGCGTGTGGTGACGGAATGGACATATTGAATCTCAGGAAACATCCTCCAATGCAGTGCTTTCACTTCCACATCACAGCGCTTTCACAGTAACGAGACACACGGCAATGACGACTGTCCAGTTATCACGCTGCCAGATCATCATCGTCTTACGCCCGTTACTCGCCTGATCCTCGGTCACCGCTATCAGACATTGATCCCACACCAACATCAAAGACCCAACCACCGCTTAAATTCCCCACTAAGCACCTAATAAGCGCGCGATGCGGAGATCCTCCCAGACCCATTGGCCATGTCGAGGCAGGAATCCCCAATCGAGCGTGTCTAGGCGAGATGACCATGCACGAGAGAACAGCTCCACGGCGGGTCAGAAGCTTATCTCTCTCGGCGTTGCCCGAGCTAGTGTGTACCCGGGACCGTTTAGAGAAGAAACCGAGGTCGTTAGATTCGGCGGACCTGGTCCCTGAAACCGGAGAGAATGGCAGAACCATTACTACTTTCCGCAAATCGGAGTGGGCCGGCCATGCAAATTTTCTGCAAACAGATGAGTGTCTGGAAGGCTGGAGATTGGAAAGATTATGGGTCGGTCGGTGCTGTGTAATGGAAAGTGCTGGATCTGTTGGTTGCAGTATTGCCGATGCCTTCCTATCTCTGCGGCGGCACAGTGGTTAGCATTACTGCAGCTAGACTTGCGTTTGCGGTTTTTTATACGAGTATTGATCATGCCGGGGTGTGCCTTACATCGAAGCGAACTGGCGGACTGGCGAACCACAACGACTGTATTTCCAGGCGAGGGCCCGGCAGCCCGGCACCACATTGAGGTGTGGTAACCAACTACTCTGTCACAAACACCAACGTAAGATCACCGCGTGCCATCGCCCTGTTTGGCAGGTGCTTGCAGGTGTTCCGGGTTGGGGGCGAATCGGTTGTCTGCACGCCGAGCGGGCAGTGGCGCGACTAAGCTGCCAAGGGAAGGCTTCGACAGGCTTTGTACCGGACGACTATGCTTATCTGGTTAGAACCAGGGCTATCAAGACGTTACATCGGGCCTGGCGAGAGTGCTTGTGCGTGCTTGGTCCCACTGCCCTTGAGCGACAGAGGCGACCGTCGGAGCCATTGGGTAGGTGAATGCCATGTGGGTACCGCGTGTGCTCAACGAGGGGGTGGGTTAAATATGGAGGTGTCTTCGTTCTTCTGGTATGACTCCAGGTGTTACCGGATTTCCCTCTCACCCTCTGGTCACACTCACTCTGGGCTGCCTCTCTATTGACCGAATCTTTGGTCGCAATTGAGATCTGAAACCATGGCTACCGCCCACGAGACTACTGCGTATGTTCTGCTTCCCCGTCGGCCCTTTGGTACTCGGGTCCACTGGGATTAATACGGGTTACTGACATGTTTGACAGCGCTGAGGCACTCCAGCACGGCCAAGAGGTCGCTGACAAGCACCCTCACCTCTACGGTGCCACCATCAACGACTCCAACGTTGCCGGCGCGCATGTTTCCACCGAGAAGGATGCTGCGCTCACTGCTGGCTCCCACTCCGATGCTGCTTCCTATGTCCAAGAAGAGGATGGCATCGGTGGTATCAGGCCCACCGCTGAGGAGTTGAAGACACTCCGCAAGGTTGGAGAGCCGCTCCCCAAGAGCGCTTTCCTTGTCGCTATCGTCGAGCTCTGCGAACGTTTCACCTACTATGGTGCTTCCGGTATCTTCCAAAACTACATCTCGCGTCCCCGCAGTGGTGAGGAAGGTCGCGGTGCGCTCGGTATGGGTCACCAGGGAGCCACTGGTCTCACCACCTTCTTCCAGTTCTGGTGCTATGTTACTCCCATTCTCGGTGCCATCATTGCCGATCAGTACCTTGGAAAGTACAACACCATCGTCATTTTCTGCTGCGTCTACATCCTCGGTCTCATCGTCCTCACCTGCACATCCATTCCTACCGCTCTGGATCACGGCGCCGGTCTCGCTGGTTACATTGTTGCCATTATCATCATCGGTCTCGGAACTGGAGGTATCAAGTCCAACGTCGCGCCTTTGATCGCCGATCAATACAAGAGGAGACAAATGGTCATTGGCACCGATGACAAGACTGGCGAGAAGGTTATCATTGACCCTGCGATCACTATTCAGAGGATTTACATGATCTTCTACTGGTGCATCAACGCCGGATCTCTGTCTCTGCTCGCTACTCCCTACCTGGAACGTGATCGCGACTTCTGGAGTGCCTACCTGCTCTGCCTCTGCGTCTTCTTCGTTGGACTGCTCGTCCTCGTCCTTGGCCGCAAGGTCTACGTTGTCCGACCTCCTCAGGGATCCATCATTACCGATGCCTTCCGTATTATCTGGATGATGATCAAGAACCGTAACATGGATGCTGCTAAGCCATCTTACCAGGCCGGCCTCGGCAAGACCAAGGTCCTCAACTGGGACGACCACTTTGTCGATGAGGTCAAGCGTGCTCTTATTGCTTGCCAGGTTTTCTGCTTCTACCCCATCTACTGGGTCGTCTACGGCAACTTCTCCAACAACTTCGTCACCCAGGCCGGTCAGATGCGTCTTCACGGCATTCCCAACGATCTGATGCAGAACTTCGATCCCATCGCTATTATCGTTTTCCTGCCCATTGTCGACCAGTGGCTCATGCCCACACTCCGCAAGCACAAGATCGCCTTCCCTCCCATCAACCGTATTGTCGCCGGCTTCTGGATTGCATCCTTCGCCATGATTTACGCTTGCGTCATCCAATACTACATTTACCACTCTGGTCCTTGCTACATGACCCCGCTAGCCTGCGACGCTGATCTTGTCGATGGCGTTCACCAGGGTAACAACATCCACGTTGCTGCCCAAACCGGTGCCTACATTCTCATTGGTCTTTCTGAGATCTTTGCCTCCGTCACTGGACTCGAGTATGCGTACACCAAGGCCCCGCCCAGCATGAAGTCCTTCGTCCAGTCTATGTACCTCCTTACCAACGCTTTCGGATCTGCCATCTCCGAGGCTCTTAACCCGCTTGTCGTTGACCCCAAGATCCAGTGGATGTTTGCTGGTCTTGCCGTTGCATCGTTCATCGCTGGTTGCCTCATCTGGATTCTGTTCCACCACCTCAACGAGACGGAGGACGAGATGAACCAGCTTGACCAGGACTACGACAAGGACGAGACTTTGAGGAGGAGCAGTGTGCACGGTGACCGCACTGTCGGTGTCCACCATTCTATTGATGAGAAGGCATAGATGGTGTTGGGGAGATCCCGAAAGGGATGCTAGTATGAAGTTAATGTGCCATATTGCATGGCAGCTATGATACCAAGATGAGAATTCAACTGTTCAAAACAAATCGTGTGTTCTTTGATAATGTGATGTGCAACTGAATGGCCTTTCTTCTGATTCCCGGAAAGCACTGGTGTCGATACAGTCTGGATTGTTCTACGTAGCTGGCCAGTGACCTACCTTGAGACCGCGTTCCCATGTTCCATGGTCCAATATCGTCCGGCGTCAAATTGAATGCGCGCTCGAGACCTGACTACCGCCAAGGAGCTAGCGGAGTGAGCCCCGCACCCCTCGTGAAGCTTACTCGCGAAGATTATTTACCCCCATGCACTTTATTCAATCCAGTAGATTGTTTGCTCAGCGAACGCTATAAGATAGATACCCAGAGTCGCTCTTCGCGTTTTGGCTTTCAAAACGTCCCTTCTCCGCAGAATGTCGACGATCGCGCTTACTATTTTAAGAAACTAAGAAAAGCAGTCACCTTCTAGTTCTGTCCTAATACTCGTATACTCCGTCACACACCTCGTATCCTTTGCCGCCTACGTTCGAGACACCGCTTCCTTCCACCTGTACTACGATATAGCTCTTTTGATCAGACGCGTCAGCTCGTGCGTTCGTTCCTAGCTGAAGTTTATCTTGTTTGCTTTTGTGGTGGTGCTCAACCTCCTTCAGCCTCTCTTTCTCGCTAGCTAGCTACTCGTCACTTACCACCTACCAACTTTCTCATTCGCATCACGCTACATGCAGCAACAACCGTTCAAAATGACGTCTACAATCACCACAACACCGACGACGACGTACAACTACGTCTACACAACCTACACAAATGCGTCGCCGAGCCCTTTCACCAAACCCACAGAGTTCCCGTCCATCTTCAGCTACGGCCCTGCAGTAGGATGCGCCTCCAACTCTGCCATGCCCGACACACCCGCGCAGCCTTCCAATTACCCTCTCGGTCGACCGTCCGGCCGCGATGGCGGATGCGTTATCAGCAACGACGCGGACTTCAACGACCATGCTTTCTGGGACATGTACGCGTGCTGTTCTGGCAACGACAGCACCGCGATGGGCAGCCCGTTTCCTTGCACGGCAATGTGCTCCGCTAGCGACGAACAAAGCTTCTTGGAACTGGGAGAGTGTCTGAGCAAGAGGGTCGACGTTGTCATTTGCACTCCACCGTTCGACGAGATTAGCAAGAATTCGACGGACCCGGATGCGGCTAGTAGCAGTGGTTCTATGGCGCAATCTTCATCGGCGGGTACGATGAGCGAGAGGGAGAGCGCGACTGCGAGCTCAAGTGGCGATGCGAGCGCGAGTGCTAGCTCTTCGAATGCGGACTCGACGGGCGCTGCCAGTGCCGTGGGCGTTACACATGGTGCGTTGTCAAAGGCTGGGCTGGCGGTATTCGGCATCGTGGCGCTCGGCTCGGCTGCGGGCATGTTCTTGTAGGAAGGCACGGAATAGGATAATGTATATTACAACTGAGCTGGTCTTACCTCAATGTCCTCTTTCAGTACTTTAGTGTAAGTTTCATATAGTCGGAACATAATCCATAAATTGCTCTCATCCGAATGGCGGTATCATAACCTCATTGCATAGCTAGTGCTTTCCTGAAATGGTCCTATTATCATGGACATCTCATCTACTAATATGCTCAAGGCTATGTCATAATGTGATGTCTTTTATATTGGGATAGAGTGACAAATAGAAAGGATCGAAGAACCAACGAGCACAACTTCCTGCAGATCATTCCAGGATGTGCATATAGAAAAAGACGAGATGAACATGCAAATGTCAATTGACTTTCAAGAAACACATAGGCACAGTATTTACAACCAGTCACCTAACCCGCTACCGCCGCTGCTGAGCCACCACACCGAAGATCAAATCGTCTTCGTGATTGATCTCGTTGACCATACGAGTGTCACCCATCGGCTCTGTATCCCTCATGCAACGCGACAAAAAATCATGCTGTGCAAATCGAAGCAAAATGCAACCGCCTTTCTATTCCTTTCTTCTACTTCTTACCGGTCAACTTCACCTGCAGAGGAAGTTAGTAAATGACACATATGCACTTCTTATAGATGGGACTTACCAAAGACCAAATCCATTGTTCCGATAATGGCGACAGCATCGGCGAGCAAATGACCTCTTGAAATTTGGTCCATGCAGGCCAAGTGTGCGAATCCAGGTGCCCTAATCTTACACCTGTATGGCCTCTCGCTACCATCTGAGACCAAGAAGACACCCATTTCTCCCTTGGGCGCCTCAATAGCGCTGTATGTCTCACCAGGTGGGACAGTGTAGCCCTTGCTGAAAAGCAAGAAGTGGTGGATGAGGGCCTCCATGTTCTCCTTCATAGCAGCACGTGGTGGCGGCGCGATCTTGTAGTCTTCAACCTTGACGGGGCCGGCTGGCATGTCGTTCAAGCACTGGTGGATGATGCGGAGAGACTGACGGAACTCCTCCATACGGCAGAGGTAACGGTCGTAGCAGTCACCGTTGACACCGACTGGGACATCGAAGTCAACCCTGTCGTAGGCGTCGTATGGCTGCGACTTGCGGACGTCCCAGGGAACACCGGATCCTCGGAGCATGACACCAGAGAAAGAGTAGTTGATGGCGTCGGCAGCTGAGACAACACCAACGCCCTTTGTGCGGCCAATCCAGATACGGTTGTCTGTCAACATCTCCTCAGTCTCGTCGATGCGGTCGCCGAACTGGGTAGCCCATTGGTAGATATCGTCGAGAAGACCGAGGGGGAGATCCTGAGACACACCGCCGGGGCGGACGTAGGCTGCGTGCAGACGGGCGCCGGAAACACGTTCGTAGAATTCCTAGACGTAATCAGCATGTGCAATCTATACTTTTGCCACGCACAACTCACCATGAGCTTCTCACGCTCCTCGAAACCCCACAAGAAGGGCGTAAGAGCACCGACATCCATAGCGTGGGACAAGACCGACATGAGATGGTTCAGAATGCGGGTGATTTCACCGAACAGGGTACGGATGTACTTGGCGCGGATTGGGATATCGATGTTCAGCAGCTTCTCGACAGCCAGCGAGAAGCACTGCTCGTTGGTCATCATGGAGACATAGTCGAGACGGTCAAAGTATGGCAGGGCCTGGAGGTACGTCCGGTACTCGATGAGCTTCTCTGTGCCTCGGTGCAGCAGGCCAACGTGCGGGTCGGCGCGCACAATCTCCTCTCCGTTCAGCTCCAGAATCAAGCGCAACACACCGTGGGCAGCGGGATGCTGGGGCCCGAAGTTGACAGTGTAATGCCGGATCTTCCTGGTGTCGACATGTTCGTCCTCCTCCGCTCTGGTTTCCTGGGCCGTCTCGGCCGGTGCAACGCCGCCGAAGTTGGAATCGGTCGGGACCAATCGTGTCCGCTGGCTCTCCTCGACTTCAGCGTATCGGCGGGGGAATGTAGTCGACAGGCAGCGTGCAATGGGCCGTGAAGGGATTGCCGATCGGAGCTGGGGTCGGGAGGCGTTGAGGCACGCTCGCTTCGCCGCGGGGCCGGCCAGACGCGCAAAGGAGACGGGCATGGTGGTGGTATCTCTCCCTACGTCGAGTATAGGGCCTCAATGGGCGTGTAGAGTGGAGAGTGAGGGCGTGGCGTTGGAGGGGAGCTTTCCTCATATCGATGATGCTACCAGATTGAGTCTACCGCCATTGGCTGCGTGGGTCTTGGCGTGCCGGCGCCTTCCTCGAACTTTTTGTGAACATGGAAAGTGCTCCCCTCCGAAAACACCAAACTTGACCCCAACACCGCAACCATGTCGACGCCGAGTGCACAGGAGCAGATCAAGCGCAAGGTACTTACGCGACTTGGAATATGGGGTTGATCTTCCGCTAATGCCACGATTAGACGCTTGGAGTTGGTCCAGAGACCGTCACCAACCAGCAGTCTACCGACTTCCCTGGACACTGGCCGGGCGAGAACCACGAATGGGACTTGGAATACTTCAAGGAGGTATGCGCGACTAGATTCACGTCAAAAATACATGACCTCGTACTAACCAAAGGTTCAGAACTTCAACGTCACCTTCCACAAATTTGTCCCCAACAACGCCGAGTTCTCCCTCACTGGTATCGACACCTCGGTCGCAAACGCCTTCCGCCGCATTCTCCTCTCCGAAATCCCTACGCTCGCCATAGAGGACGTCTTCATCTACCAAAACACATCCATCATCCAAGACGAAGTGCTCGCCCACCGCCTGGGCCTAATCCCCCTCTGCGGCGACCGCGAGGGTCTCCGCTGGCTGAAATGGTACAAGAAGCCCACAGACGACGACGAGGGCTCCGGAACACCCTCAGACTACAACACCATTGCGCTGCGATTAGACGTGGAATGCACATGGCAAGAGGGCGGTCTGCAACGAGCAGTAGCTGGAGAGACCGATCCCGATAAACTCTACGTCGGCCACAATGTCTACGCTAAAGACATCGTCTTCCAACCCCACGGCCGTCAAGAGGAGAAGTTTGCGCAAAGTGAAGGGAAAGATATTCGGTCTACCAACCCAGATATCCTGATCGCAAAGATGAGGCCAGGGCAGAGCATTTGTCTCAGCATGCACGCTATCAAGGGTATCGGACAAGACCATGCCAAGTTCTCGCCCGTCGCAACGGCTTCGTACCGCCTTATGCCTACCATCGACATCACGAAGCCCATCATCGGCGCCGACGCAAAGAAATTCGCGCGCTGTTTCCCCCGGGGCGTCATCAAGCTCGACAAGGTCACTTCCGAGGATGCTCAGAAATACGCCGAGCTGGAAGGCAAGGAAGGCGAGCCCAAGGCTGTAGTCGAGAACGCCATGAACGACACCGTCAGCAGAGAATGCTTAAGACATCCCGAATTCAAAGACAAGGTGAAGCTGGGTCGGATACGAGACCACTTCATCTTCAAGGTGGAAAGCACTGGCCAGTGGGAGAGCGACGAGCTGTTTTTGGAGA